GGTATTAACGAGACGATTATAATGGTGTAACTTGTTAAAATAAAAATGTATTTTTTAAACATGTTTAATTGATATACGATTATGTATATTAATTTGATAAAGGTTTAAAATGAAACATTTAAAAGTAAAGGACGTAAAGTAAATTAATTAACTAATTATAGGGGTATAAAGTGTAAATTTAAAATTATAATTTTAAAAAAGTCGGTTGTGAGAGGGTGAGTGTATGTGAGGGGATGAGTGTATGTGAGGAGATGAGGGGGTGAAAAAGTGATATAAAGGGTATCTTGGTCATTTAGTATTTTAAGACTTTAAGACTTTTGTTAAATTTGTTTGATAGTATAGATATATATATATATATATATATACACACTACATATATAACCATTTAGGTCATTATCTTAATTACAACTTTTGAAGCATAGATTATAACCATTTTATGCATGAAATTCAAAAAACTCTTAATTACAAATTTTTAAACACAATGTACAAGCATAGATTGCAATATCTCACAACCCCCAAATGTTAAATGGGTCAAACCCCTTTTTTCTTACCAGGCTTTTAGAAATACCCATTTGGGCTTATTTCTTCTTCTTCACTCTTCTGCATCCTATCTCTGCAACGAAAACATCAAGACCAAAAGGTTTATTTTTCTTTCTTCTTCTGTGATTTTTGTTTCCACATACGTTCAAAACATTTTGGAATAGATAGCCGATACCTTTCTTCTTTACAGACCTCGCTTAACATAACAATGATGGTTTGGATGTATCACCTCGAGCAGTGTGCGATTTCATGAATCAAAGGGATTTGATGTATCACAACCTCGTTGATACATATAACTCCCTCCTCCCTGTTGATTTAATCTCACAGGTTCTTCAAAACCCTAGAATTTGGAGGTATGCTTTTCAAAACAATATTTATTTCTATTTCTATTTTGATTTTCGCAACCAGATGAGATTTTAACTTCCTTTTTTTTTTGGTTTGACCGATTGATGAAGAAGGCTATTTACAACTTTGAGGTAAGAATCCTCTTTTATTGATAATTTTGCTTAGTATGTGATTGATTGATAATAGTTTCATATAGTTGGTCATGTGGAAAAACACATATTCTGTCATATTCCCATTTGCAAGGCCACCTTCTGTTTACACTGCTTCTACATCATCGTCATCATCATCTAAGATGGTTTCTATACCATCTATGAATTTAGGACTCTTGGTGGTTCTTTTTGTGTATCTGTTAGGTTGGGGTTTGAGGTAGGGGCTGTTAGCTTACTCTTACAGTGATAACCCGATTGATATCACATAATAAAATAGCATTTTCATTTTTGAACTTTTAGCAATTATGCATCAGAAAGGGAAACACTTACCATTTTGATTTACTTAGAAAACAACAGAAAATGTTACCTTTTCAATTACTGAACCAACTGAAAAAGATACCTGTCAACAACAGTTGTTTCTTCATATTTTCAAATGTCTATTT